AACATTGAGGGCTGCAGGGAAAGATAGTTCCCTTCATAATAGTATTAATATCATATTACGAGGTGAGCAATCTGGTGACAGCCAATATCCTTGATGAACAAATCAAGTGTTTGAGGACAAAGGAACCCAGAGTCAATGAAATGATGCATTTCAAAGATTATGCAGTAAAAGAATATAACAACTGGATCTTGGGAACCTAGTACAATGTAATAGGGGTCCACACACTTCAAAAGTTATTTGGAAGCAGTGCCTTGGACTTTCCATTAAAATAAATAATCTTTGTTCAAGCATGTGAGCCTGAAAAAAAGTGTGGCTCCTTTAATAGTTGTACGAAGAACTGAGTGCTTAAAGCAGTTGTACCTTTCTCTCAGGTTTGGACAGAGGCCTGGAAAAGATGGGCTGCTTTAATGAACAGCAAGAGGTACTGTGCTTACATGAGATCTGAAGCACTGTTTACTTATTGTTTCTGAAGTGTAACTTAAGTTTAGCAGTAGCAATCATAAAACAGCTGTCTTAGTACCAATACCTGCTTTCCATACTCTTGTCATCAAATGGGTGGAATAAATAAATAATCATTTAATTATGCAGATAATTACTGGAAGAATATTGCACATTTTGTGGCATTTCACTAAGTCTAAATCACCTTGAAAGAATTAGACAGTTATATACAGAGGTAGTTCTGCAAGCTCATTGATTCAATGGATGGGACCAGTAATGGCAGCTATATAAATGTGATAAAGTGATTGATTGATTGATTGATTGATTGATTGATTGATTAAAAAAACATGCTTTTCCTGTCAGATCTGATAGAACAGGTAGACATGATCAGGGAGAAGTGTCCTGCAAATAACCTGACCCCATGCCATGGAGAGCTTTATAGGTCACAACCAGCACCTTGAATTGAACCCAGAAGCATATTGGAAACCAATGGAGCTCACAAAGCAGAGGTGTAACAATGCATAGAGTGCCCATAACTGCCCATCTTGCTGCATTTTGTACCAACTGCAGCTTCTGGATGCTCTTCAAGGGCAGCCCCATGTATAGCACATTGCGATAGTCCATCCAGGAGGTGAATAAGGTGTGAATAACAGTGAGCAGAGCCTCCTGGTCCAGGAAAGGGCAAAATAGGCATACCATATGGACATGTGCAAAATCTTTTCTGGTCACAGCCACTACTTGTTCCTTGAACTGGAGATGCAAGTTAAGGAGGACACCCAAATTGTGGTTCTGTTTGGGGGTAGTGCAACTCCATCTAGAAAAAGAAATGGAAAATCCCCATTCATGTGAAAATCTAGCAGCCCTGAGAACCCTGTCCACTTCATTGGGAGTAATAGGGTCAAACTCCTTCCAGATAACCAAACTAGACTGAGCTTCAATTACCTGCATGGGACCTGCTTCAAGGCCAGAGTCTACTCATAAATTCAGAATAGCCACATTATAATCAGATGTTTGAGCCATTACTCTAAGGACAAGGCATAGATGGCTGAGCCACCTATGAAGTTTGGCGTGCTTTTCACAATCCTGTATCCTGCTTGTTACCAGAACCACTTTTGAAGGAGAGGAAGGGAAGTTTAATGGATTCCCTTTTCTTCTCAAAAAAGGGAGCTGAAAAGCACTCTTTTCCAAGTGAGAGTGTCATAATACTGAGCAGTTCATGTGGGGAGAGGGAGAGAAAGATCCTGTGTTTGTGTTATAGAAATATGATTGATATATATGCACAAGTATAATGAACCCTGAAATCCAACAAGCATCTAGTGGCCCCTAATTTTTTTTTTTTTTTAAGATTTATTTCAGCACCTTGGAACTGTTTTTAGTTAGCTGTTTTAAAAAAGAAATTATCAGAATGTCTACTAGGTCCCTGAAGGACATTTTGAACCTTCATGGCAGAACAACCAATACAAATATGCTATAAGCATTAAATATGTATTTTCTTGTTCTGCCTGAATACAATCAAGGAATTTATCTTTTAGCCCCAGGGTTTTTGGTTGTTGTTGTTTTTTTCCCAGACAGAGAACAATGTAGAGTCATGAAATAATCTACAGCTTCTAGCTCAGAAAATTAATAAATCATGCATTTAAGCTATGAAGAGCTACCGCATCAAAGCTGGCATCCAGTGTTATAAGGGTGGTCTTCCACAAGCACAGTGGGGCTCCCCATCATTTTTCTCAGCCACGTGGGCCTCAGATCTTTTTCAGAGGAACTCTCTCCTTCCAGTGCAGATGGTTCCCCGAGTGAAAAAATAAAAATAATTCCCTCAGCAGAATTGCCTCTGCCAATAGAATGACACCATTGAATACAACCCAAGCTATTTTGATTTGGAAATGAAGAAGCTAGCAGATCCACCAATCAATTTTAACCCAATTTGGTGTCCAGCAAATTCAGTGTGGGGAGGCTCCCTAAAAAAATGCTTGCCTTACTCTTGTCAGATTGCCAAAAAAAATGTTCTTTACAAAATCTCCTTAGGAATCTGTTTAATGTCCTGAAGAAATCTACACAAGTAATCTCTCACAGTTAATCAATCTTAATTAATTTCAAGATGCCAAAGATTATAAAAAAGAATCCCACGTTATACTGCTCATTTAAAAAAGTGAAAAGGGAATTACAATTTGGGTGTTCCTTCTTTTCTTGCAAAGGATCTAAATGTTGGAATTCAAAACAGTGGTTTAACAAAGGGAAGCTCACTGCTTTAGGTAGGTTTTGAACTAATTATATGTTTGATTTGTTTCAGGGGAGAGCACAAATAAAACCTGCATGTCAACAATTTCAAAACTACGTACTGTATAGATAAGGAAAACTTTGAAATATGTAATATAAGACACCAGTGCCATGATGGTGAAATGATGAAGTAAGTATGACATAAGAAGATTTTGCTCATACAAATAAGTTTCAAAGCTTCTCTTACATTGGGAAATTCTTATTCTGTATCTTAGAATCTATAGATTAAAATTGTTACATTAAGATACATTCTGCACATTTATTTGTTGGCTATACACAACCACAGTAAGTGGCAGGAGACATGGTGAAATGGTGAATAAGATTTTTTCTTTTGTTACTATCCACATTTGTTCAACAGAAATGACTTGTTCAGATATTACATCCACACGGTGTAAAATGACCCAGAAGAGACACAGGGCCCACGGAATAATTACAAAGAGGTGAGTTCTTCCCTGTTCCCAGCTTCTCTATATACATATATCTTTTAAATTTATGTTCATGTGCATTAAAAGGACCCTTGGCACCGCTGGGAACCGTAACAAAACAAGGACCCCGCTATGTGCATACTGCTAATCACATTCAAATGAACATCAGTAGACACTCTTGGCAAACTTTTCTGCTCAATATTGGAAAATTTCAGAGTCTTTAATGCCTGCTCTCACACTCTCTTCAGACACAGTTCCTGAATAAGGAAGGAAAATAGCTCAATTTTATGCATAAAAATAAGCCCCATTAAAATCAAGGTTGTGTAAGTCTATGCCACTCCAATGTCACTTTTCTAATTCTTGCTCTTTTTGAGAAGTTTAAGGGCTAGCTTTTCCCTGATCTTTTACTAAAGAACATTTTAATTTGAACAAAAGAAAGAACATGTCCCGAAGAATGTATTTTCCCAAAGGTAAATGAAGAACATATGACATTTTGACATTAAAATCCTCATCTCATTTAGGGTTCAATATAAAACTACCACATCTGAATGAACATAAAATATGACTATCACCAATTTTTAAGGTGACTCCAAGCAATTTCACATATTACAGAATGCAGTGTGAAAGTGCTTCCTGACATCTCTCATTATGCCTCAGAAGGAAACAATACTATTGTATGCAATGTGGGCAAAGGAAGAACTTTCAAGGAACTTGTAAATCCAGTGCTGAAAGAGGTCACGTAAGTAATTGCATTGCACATAGAACCCCACCGCCCCCGAAGGCATTTACTACTGTATTCCACTTCTTCAAATATGTAAAAGCTCCTAAATACACACAGAGTTTAATATTTCTTCTCAGAAATTATTCCTATTTGGTTCTCATTTATGGTAAGATATAAAGAATGGCAGCCATAGTAAGCATGACAGCGATATGTATTCTGATTATATAAGAGCCACAACTGAGGCCCAACATAGCCTGAAGGTTAACATAGGGAACCTTCAAAAATATGCACTGCCCATGCATACGTGCACCTACATGTGCATTCCCATGATGTGATCCACTCAAGAATGCTGCTGCACTATGGCACTTTTTCATATTATTTAATTAGGACAGAAACACTGTATCATAGTGATGGCCACAGGAACATCAGAACTTCATCCTGCGTGGAAAAGCCTGCTCTGCGGACTGGGTCGAGTTGTCAGTCTTGGAAATAAGCAACGCCGATGCATATGGTCTTCTCAGAAACTTAAAGTGCTTCTGCAATTGCCTTTTCTTTACTACAGACCACAAGAGGGCTACACAGATTTGTGACATTTAAACTAAGTGGTATTGATTTTACTATTCCTCACTATTTCAGATTCTATTTTATCAAACAGAATACAGAGGCTATGAGATCCAGGGCTGCAAAAATCCAGACACTGCCAGATAGCAGCAAAGAGATGCATCCATCTAGGGGTGATCCGAATTTCTGGACCCCACGCCCCCGAAAGAAAGCATACAGTATAGGTGGATGGATATTTAAAATAAATCAAAATAAAATGCATCAAGCAAGGAGTAAGTTTGAAATGTAGACAATCTGTTCCCTTCGGTTGCTTGGACTATAGCTTTCATGAGTCCCCCCAAACAGTCGTCTAAGATTTAGGGCGTTCAGTCAGTGCATCTAGAGGACACTAGCACGTTGCCCCTTCCTCGAATTGCACTGCAAATTAACTTCATTCATCCAGCAGCCCTGAGCCACTTCCTGAATCAGTTAGCATTAGACTACAATTCCCAGGCTGCATAGCAGCCTCAGAGCCTGCCACGTGACCGAAGTTATTCTCTCTTCTTCCAGTGATATTTCGCATTTAATCACATGGGAGGGGAAATATGGCTGCATTGGATAGGGAAGAGTTTGCCTCGCTTCAGTTTTTGCTGAAAGTAAGTGTGTGCGTATTTTAATGTGGGGAAAATATGATGCCGTGGAACAGCGATCAGCTGCACTCATTTTGATCTAAAGCACATTTAAGCGACAGGGCGCGGGAAAGCTCGTGCTTATGATTTGTATCCGCGCTTCTAATTAACAAAGCGATGTCCAGTTTTAATCTCTTTATTTTTACAGTCGCCAGGGACATGGCTAAGAAAGAAAGCAGTTTTCCTTCTTTCGGGCATTTATAAATCTAAACCTAAAACGTTCCTTCAAAAGCTAACACATTAATTAAAATATATATAACAGATTTTCATTAAGCTTATTATCTAAACGGCATGAAACAAACAAACCAAAAAAAAGGAACAAGATGAAAAGAGCCGAGGCAAAGGGTTCCAGGCCTTTGTTCCTCCCCAACATCTAACTGCAGTCTCTCCTCAAAAGATATTAATTCTTCACTCTACTGGTCAAGCAGAATATCTATTAGAAGTATAGAAATGCAAATCACTTGATGCCTCAGGATGCATCAATATGCTGCTCATGAACATCTCTTGTAGGTTGTTTAGGACTTTGGACCTTCTGCACCTCAGAGCTCTTCCTGTGCCATGTCTTGGATATATTTTTTATTTCTAGTCTTACACTTCTTTGCCTTGATTTTGTTGTCCTTTTTCATACTGCTCTTATTGCCATCTTCCATTCTCAGTCACAAAGTTCTAGAAAGAAATCTGTAGATTCAAAACCCCACGATGCTCCATACTTTTCTATTTTGTGTGAGGGAGCTGATGTGTCTATATAGACATTGAAGTGTCTGGCAATTGTTGCTCTCTTTCTTTCTTTCTTTCTTTCTTTCTTTCTTTCTTTCTTTCTTGTGTGTGAAGGATCATTGTTTGTTTCTCTTACCAGGCTCCTTCAAAGAATGTTGTTCGGCAGTTATGCCAAGAGTGCTTTTCTAGTTCAGGAAATGACCCCGAAAAGCTCACTGAGACTACCTGCTCCAATCTCTCAGTAACTCCCAGTGAAGCAAGTCAGGTAAGGTACTGAAGTATGTTCAGGATTTAGCCTGCAGTTCTAAGTATGCTTAAGGATGCACAGTATTTTACAGCAGTAAAGACATGTTTCTCTTTTGCTTCAGTACTTCTTTACACTGAAGTTGCTTTTTAATAATTTTAAAAAGAGAGCAAGGACAGAGAACAAAAGCCAAATGGGGAACTGGACAGACATAGATTACATAAATTGGTGCAATTTGTTGTCTCTAAGAAATGCACAGAAGGCAAAAGAAGAGATATTTTGTTAAATGCAATGTGAAACCCTTCATCTCTTGTCATTTTTCTTGCAGTTAATCCATTCTTTGCACAACCTTACAAGGCACATTGTTTACCATGGCCTAACGTCGCAAGAAGAAATTCTCTCTCTCTTTCCAGAGGGATTTCACCAGAATCTTAAAAATCTTGTGACCAAGATCATCCTGGAAAATGTGTACGTTTCATGTTTCTATCTTTAGGAGAGTCAAAGTGATTGAGTTTGAGGCTCATGACAGAGCACGAGTTAAGAAAATTAACTGAGATTTGATAGAATAAGCAGTTGCTATGGCTAATGTATCATTTTTGGAAAATGAAAACAAGTCAACAGCCCTTCATGATTTTCTATACAGTGCCAGACTGAGCTGAAGTTGTAGGCAAGTCTTATGATTGTAACTTTGAATTTTGACTGACTAGCTGCTGCACAAACTGTCTGGCCCCATGGTGCCAAGAAGCTGCCAATGTTTGCGGCAACCACACATCATTTTGAAAATGGGGTCCAATCCCCCCCCAGATGCATACGTTATTACAGGTACCTGAAGAAGTAACTTGGGGAAGACACGTTCCATGCAACCCAACTTCTTATGCTGGTCTTTCTCAAAATGATGCCCTTAAGATGTGCTGGCACTCCAGGCCTGGAATTCCTTACCAGCATAGCAATTGACACATTTCAGAGTTTATTGTAAGATTCTGTACTTCCCATTTCAGGTCATGGAGCTATGCTTGAGCATCTGGATGTAATTTTTATAGTAAATTGGCCATAGTTGTTTAGATTTCATGCCATTGCCAAGTTGCCCTTCTTTTCTGGGTGATTGTTTGTCACAGGATAATCCTGATTTCCAAGCTGCAATATTGCCACTGCTAGATGAAGGCATATAAAAGCAACTTGTCACTCTCAGTGAACAAGAGACATTTGCAATTACTGAGCAAAAGAAATAATCTTACAGACTGTCAGCTGTTGAAGCTGTAGTGACACTGAAGTCCAATATGCATTAGATTCCTTCAGACTTCCTGGCCCCCAAAAAGTAGTTTGTTGAGTAAAAACAGTTTTGTGGAATCCATTGTTGCTTTCTGCTGCTCTTCTGCCTTGCAAAGACAATTATATTTCTGTGTATTTTCTTCCCTCTTTTTAGCTCCGCCTGGAGAAATGAAGCACAAGCCAGTCAAAGTGAGTAGCAGGATGTGTGTTGGAATAATCACAATATATAATATCCCACTTATATATATAATATCTAATATAATATCTTATTATATTTATATTTTATTTTATTATATATTGTATATAATATAATATATAATATAATATAATATCACAATATATAATATCACACTTATATCACTACCCTGCATTTAATTTCACACATTTGAGTTTAGAGCTATTTCACATAAGGCATGTGTCTTGCATAGAAATTGCCTCACAGATTGTGTCTGAAGCAAACTTCAACCTCTTTTGCTATTGGAAGAGCCATGGATTCCTGTAGCATTTCCTTCAGTGTTATGCACAACACAGAAATGGAATAAGAAATAGTAAGTCAAATAAATGAAAGACATAAAATAAGAAAGCAAGTATACGCCAATGCTTTTCACTATACTTCTGCATACCAACACCATTCACTGTGCTTCTCCATACCGGTCTTGCAAACCATGCTTGTTTTCACCACATTCATACACCATTTCATATATTGCTTTTTGTTCTTTAAACTCTCCTCTTTCTCTAGAGGATCTCATTCCATCCATTCTTCTTGGTGTGCCCCTTCCTCTTGACTAATTCACTCTGCCTTCATATATTTATTCTGCTATTCAACACCATTCATTTTCCCTATCCAACAGATCACCTCAATGTATTTATTTATGTATTCATTCAGCATCCATTCACTCTTGACCCTATTTTTCTTGTTTTACCACAACACCATTCATTTTCCCTATCCAACAGATCACCTCAATGTATTTATTTATGTATTCATTCAGCATCCATTCACTCTTGACCCTATTTTTCTTGTTTTACCACAGCCACTTATTAAATGCTCCAATTCCCACTGTGTTCAATTTTTTATTTTTTTCTAAAATATCCAACTTCACCCAACAATGTGGACAGAAGCATGCTCTCATACTCTGCCATTTTGGCTTCTTTCAATATTCATTCCTTGCAAATGACCATATATTACCCATTACCACCATTTGTACATCTTAATTTTTTTCTGTCCACTTTCCTATGTTTAGTAAATACTCTGGCATGGTACACAGATTCATCAACTTGCTCAGTTTTTACCTTTTATGTATAATTTGCAATCATTTACTCCTTTTCCTCTGTTAGGTTCAACTATCTTGGTCTTTGATGCATTAATTTTCCAATCTGTGATCTTCATTGCATCATAGAGCCTAACATTTGCTTCAGATCATTCCGGTTTTCAGCAAACAGCAAGGCATTGGTGGTGTACAAAAGTACATGCATGTTCATGTCCCTAATCGACACGCCTCCAATATTTCTACAAGCCTCCAATTTCTACAAGCATTCCTTATACATGTATCCATAAATGCATTAGACATCACACATCCTCATCTTAGTCCTTCTTCAGTGCTAAATCATTTGTTAATCATTCCATTTATTCTCATGCATGCTTTATTTCCATTGTGTGTTGCTCTGGTTGCATGCAGCAATCAACCTTCAGCTCTGTTTTCAGGCTAAATAATTAATCATTCAAGCCTATTCACTTTATCATACACTTTGACCAAATTCATAAACATACAATAACATTTTATTTCTTTTACTGATGCATTTCTCAATTACTTTCTCACATTCATACATTTCCCAATAATAAATGGGAATGATAAACATGCTGGAAATATTCCTCTGTGAATCAAAGCTTGATAAAGGCAAATGACTTTTCCATTTTTAGCAGGGTGAGAATTCTCATTGCTAAATCATTGTTGGTCTTTTGAAGATCTCTATTTCTTAGTATGCATAAAAATGATACTAGTATTAAAATGAGATAGAATTTCTTGCATTATTCTATCTCCTTCCTCCCCCCTTCCTGTTGTGGGTAGCAATACATTGACAGTCCAGGAAAATGCAGTAATGATGTGTCTTTAATACCAAAAGTTTGTTAAACAAGAAATAAGATACATTTGCTTGTTTCGTACAAGGAAGTTATTTTTACAATGTGCTGCTTTATGAAGTTCATTATTAATCCAGAGCTACTATGAATTAGAGATTGAGATCCTCAGTTCATATTATACATTTCCAAACTCAGGAAGATTGCAGTGGATCATACAAAGTCAGTTTGGTGGTTTATCTATTTCTGTATTAGCTAGAAAAACCAATGTTTATAGTATGTAAATTTATGCCAGTATGTTCTGACTGACAGCTCCTTTGTTCAGATGTTCTGTATCGATAAGCTTCTTCTCCATCTCTCATACTTTCCTTATTTCCTTCCTTCTCACCAGGATCCTTTTATGTGTTATTAAATGCTGAGTTGTGATGGTCTTTTGATCAAACTTTTTGGCTACTGAATGGAAGTGTGACATAGTATGCTAATAACCAGTTGCAAAAAGAAAATAAAAACAGATGGAGGAAGCAGTTTAAATTAGCAAGTGAGTCATGAATAGGGGTATGCATCAAACAGAGAAGTTTTGTTTCAAATCCCAGAACAAACTATCACATTCTAGAGGATCTGCTGATTTGGGGTCAGTCATGGTTCTCCTGGGTTTGGGATGAAACAAAATCCAGGCAGACTGAATAGGGCAAAGAACACTCCTCTCCTCTGCCACTGCCAGCGTGGCATATCCTACCAGTCTCCCCATTCCCCATATTCCCAGAGCCCTCCTTTCAGCCTCTAATGTTTATGTATTTAGCCAATTTATATGGCCACCCATCTATCCAATAAACCTAGGTGGCAAAAAATTAAAAACAAGGGATTCCATTAAAAAAAAACCAGCCAAACAAAAAAAACCCCCAAAACCTAAAAATGCATCGAGGCTTAATGAAACCACTTACCACATACATCCATACCAGAATCCCCATAACTGATATTCCAGATCCAATGCCTGGGGAAAAAATAGGTCTTTATAGTTTTGTGCAAGGACAGTAGAGTTGGGGCCATCTGTATTTCAGGGGGGAGGGGGGGAGGGTTCTGTTCCATAAGACAGATGCCATGACATTTCTTGGTGCCCACCAGATGACACTGTTTCACTGACAATACCCATAGCAGGTCCACTCTGTCTGATCTGGTGGGATGGGTGGACTATACCAGGGAGAGGCAGCCCTGCAGGTAACCTGGTTCAGTGCCATGTAGGGCTGTAAAAGTGACTTCTGGGAAAGGAATGGGGAAAATGAAGATGGCTCCACTAAAAGTGAAGCCAACAACTGCGATGGAACAAAGAGCCGGCAAGGAAGCTAGCTCTTTGTAATTCCTCTCTGGAAAGGAGAGGACTTCAGATCACCCCCAAGTGTTCCATGCAGTTGCTCCTCATGAGGAGACCACAAGACAGTGATCTCCAGTGAATTTAAAGCTCTGGGAGACGAAGGAAGAGCCATCTTTTTGCTCAAACCACAGTCAGCACCTTCAAAAAGATACTGGGTTTGCATACTTCCTTTTCTAATCACTTTCAGAAATTGTTTATTAAGCGCTTTTCAGCTATTGAGAACCTTTGGATTGACAGGTTTTACAGCACTGGGTGAGTTTCCTTCAATCCTTAGCGAAAGAAGTTTTAAGTACAAGTTTAAGGAAAATATATACACATACACGCACACACGCATACTCTGTGTGTGTGTGTGTGTAAAGAATAAACAGCAAAAGGCTGATTAGAACTTTGATTTTGGAAAGTTACAAATGGACTAAGGGTCCAGAGGGATTTGAAATAAGATTTTGGAATTAATTAGAATCCTTCCCATGGGAAAATGCTTTTGTTTTGAATTCTCTTAAAAAAAAAAAAAACATGATAGGAAGAGACTTTGGACATTAGAGGGAATCAGAAGGAACTAAAGATTACACTTAAAGGAGACGGACACTTAAATTTGACTTACTGATACAGAATGGAGCAGAATATTTTAACACTGGACATGTTGAAGGATCTTGGAACAATGGACCCAGACATTCATTTTAAGAGTGTCTGCCTCTATAGATAAACTGTGTTTAAAAGATGGTATGGAAGAGGAACAAGTTTACTG